GGCACACAGTCATCAAATTGCAAAAGTTAAGGATAAGGAGAAAATATTAAAATTAGCAAAAGAAAAGCAACAAATAACATATAAGGGAACTCCCATAAGGTTATCAGCTGATCTTCCAGCAGAAACTCTACAGGCCAGAAGGGAGCAGCACGATACATTTAAAGTGATGAAAAGGGGAAACTTACAACCAAGAATAGTCTATCCACAAGGCTCTTACTCAGGCTTGATGGAGAAATCAAAAGCTTCACAGATAAACAAAAGCTAAAAGATTTCAGCACCACCAAACTAGCTTTAGAACAAATGTTAAAAGACCTTCTCTAGTCATCAAACCATAAGAAAAGAGAACAAAAAGAAGAAAGAGAAAAAAAAAGAGAGAGACCTACGAAGGATTGCTTTGGCTGTTCAGGGTCTTTTGCGGTTCCTTATAAATTTTGGAATTGTTTGTTCTAGTTCTGTGAGGAATATCTCTGGTATTTTGATGGGAGTTGTGTTGGATCTGTGGATTGCTTTGGGTAGTGTGGCCATTTTGATAGTGTTGATTCTTCCAATCCAAGAGCACAAGAAAATTTTCCATTTCTGTGTCATTTTGGTTTTCAGAGTATAGGTACCCTCCTTGGTTAAGTTTATTTCTAGGTATTTTGTTGTTTTTGATGGAACAGAAATGTCTCTGCCAGTTACAAATTCTGGTTTCTGAAGTGGAAAAAAAAAAGTGAATGAAGGGCCACAAATGGCAAAATATCCTTCTTTTTTATGGGTGAGTTGTATTCCATTACATATATATCTTCACTATCTATTCAACTATTGATGTGCACTTAGGGTGCTTCCATATTTTGGCATTTATAAATAATGTTGCTGTTAATAGCAGGGTATATGTTTCTTTTTGAATTAATTCTTATTTTGTGGTTGGCTTTATTCCTTTGATAACTATGTTTAAAAAGCTAAAGCTCTAAACATTCTTAGAAACAATGAACAGTAATATATGTAAATTAAAAAATATATGTCCAGTTAAAAAAAAGTGATCTATCAAGCCATGAAAGACATGGAAGAAACGTAAAAGACATATTACTAAATGAAAGAAGCCAGTCTGAAAAGGCTACAAACTGTATGATTCCAACCAAATGACCTTCTTGAAAAGGTACAGCTACAGAAACAATAAAAAGATCGTGGTTTCCAGGGGTTTGGGGGAGGGAGGGAGGGAGGAATGAACAGATGGAGCACAAGGGATTTTTAGGGCAATAAAATTATTCTGTATGATACTATAGTGGTGGCTACATGTCTTTATGCATTTGACAAAACCCATAGAATGTACAACACCAAGAGTGAACCCTAGTGTAAACTGTGGACTCTGGTTGGTAATATGGACTTTGGTGCCCATGTTGGTTCATCGATTGTACCAAATATGCCACACTGATGAGGGACGTTGAGGGGAGGGGAATATATATGTGCAAACTCTCTGTATTTTCTGCTCTATTCTGTTGTGAACCTGAAACTACTCTAAAAGAATTAAGTCTATTAAAAAAAATACAAAAAATAACCCCAATCAGAGTGAAGTTCATAGGCATTTGGAGAGAGCAAGCTAAGTGTGTGCAGGGGAGGGAGGGGAGGGCTGAGTCAAGACAGATTTGGGGGCTTGGTAAGGTAAGACTAGCAACGAGGTCCAGCTGGAGTGGGGAGGAGGCTCCAAGCCCAGAGAAGGCAGGAAGCCCATAATGAACTCCACGTCCTGTCCATCTTCCACCCGTTCTTCAGCCCAGCAGGTTCAAAAAGCCCCGGAGTGAGGCCCAAGACAGCTGGTGGCTCCTTCAAGGGAAAGGATGAACAGAGGTGCAGGGCCTGCCCCTGGGCCCAGAGCCAGGGCAGGGGTGGAGGAGAAGGCAGAGGATGGCTAGACCACCCCAAGTGCAGGGAGGCAGGTGGGACGGGAAGACTGTTGAGAAACAGAAGGTTCCTCGGCTTAGCCTTAGCCGGGATCAGTGGGGGAGGGTGGGAGGGGACAGAGAGCAAAGGCAGTCAGCCAGCACAGCCAGTTAGGGAGAGCTGGCAGGGGCCAGGCTGCCAGGGCTGCATTTCATCAGAAATCAGAGATGCCAAAGGAGGAGGAGGAGGAGGACAAAGATGCTACCTACTCACCCATCCCCACCTAACTGTTCATAGCATTTACGATGTGCCAGGCACACTACTCTGCGTGTCAGATGTATTAACTTATAGATGAGGGCAGCCAGACACAGAGAAGTTAAGTAACCTGCCCAGGATCGTACAGCTAAGTGGTAGAGTGGAGGCTGACATTCAGGCAGTCTGACTCTGGAACACCATGCTCCATAGATGAGCCCTTGGAGGCTTCCAGGCCAGCCTCCCTCATATAAATGAGGAGACTGAGGCCCAGAGCGGGTGGAGCCTGGTCAGAGGCCACTTGGCCAATGAAGGCCTGACATCCATCCATGATGCCCTAAAAGAAGGTATGTGTAAATGAGCTTGGGTGCACAGGTCCGAGGTTGTGGGGAGGGGGAACTGAAGGCGTAGAGGTGTAGCCCGGCACTGAGTGCTGACCAGCACATAAGCCTCCTGTGATCTGTGCCCAGAATAGAAGCACTGTGCTGTCTTCGGCAGACCACAGTCAAGGGAGGATGTGCTCAGAAACCCTTCTTTATGACCCAGTCAGCCAAGTTCCCACCCAGCCTGCACTTGCAAAGACACTTGCTTCCACCCCGCCCCCAGCTCCTCAGCTCAAGAACCCACCGTGGCTCCCAAGTGCTTGTCTCAGCAGAGCCCAACTCTCCTACCCAGCAGTCAAGGCCCACTCATCTCTGCTCATCTCTGCCATGGCTGCTTCCCACCTCTCCACACCTTTGCTTGTGCTTTTCCTTCCCCTAACTGTTCTTTCCCCTTCTCTCTGCACGTGGTCTTACCTGTCCTTGAAGATCTAGCCTCAGCCCCCCTGGCTTCAGGAAGTGTTCCAGACTGCTCCAGCCCTGAGCCCTGCGCCCCCTCTGACCTTGCACCACACACCATCTGGCACACACCATCTTCTCTCAGAGCACGCTGTTTAGTGGAATTTCATCTGGACTGTGGGGTCCTGAAGGTGAAGGCCAGACCTCCTCTTACCCCATGGTCCCCAGGCCAAGCCAAGGCCAGGACTGGGCAGGTGGGGGCAGCTCAGATAGTGGGGAAGACAGCAAACCCAGATGTCAGACAAGGAGACTCCTGGGCCACTGACAGGGTGCCAAGCTTATCACAGTGACCTTTCTTCCTCACTAGCCTGGCCCAGAGCCCGGGGCCCAGAATTCAAAGAATATGAGCAGCTATCTGTGCCACACTCTGCCCCCATCCCATGCCCCTGCCCCTCACTCTAGCCTGGTTCTTCCTCCTTCCCTAGGAAGTCTTCCTTGGTTGCAACACCCCAAACTGACCTTTCTTGTTCTCACTTCCTGTCACAGTCCTTGGCTGCGCAAGGCTCCTGACCTTGCCAGGTGCC